CTGTGATTTTCTTTTCCTGTCACGTGATCGGATCTTTGCTTTTTGTATGTTCTGATTCAATCGATTTTGGAAAGAGATTGGGAAATTGCCTTTGCTATTTTTTTTTTGTTTTTGAAATTTCAATGGATGCTTGTAGATCGTGTTTGTAGTTTATGCATTCTCGTTGATTGAATCAAAGGTCAAATTCTGACACGATGATAACGAATTTCGTATCAGATTTTTTTTTTCAGGGTCAGTCTTGGTTTCATCTTTATATGATGATTACGCTTTGTTTTGTCTTACATTTGTAGGGATTTCGGATCAGTTCAATCTCAAGTGGTGTTAAAGTTTCTGAATTTATCAATGGATCAAGCAGAACTCACTATGGAGCAGGTTTGTGATATGATGATGTTTATGCTAAACTTGATTTTTCTGCCTTTTACGATAGCTAATCGGATACACCAGTTACGGATTTTGACTTTCATATTTTGCATAGAGTATTGAACCTTTGTTTTGGTCTGAATAAGTATCAGTAGACATCATTCTTAACTAAACAAGATCATGCTAACCGTCGGTTTAGATCTTTGCGACTTTGACTACTTAGAAATGTTAATGATGTGTTGAAAAAGTTGACCAATGATCGTTATAGTGTTGCTTGTGGTTTTACAGTATTCAATCTCTGCTGTTACTTTACTCTGCAGGTATTGAAAAGGGACATTCCATGGGAGACTTACATGACAACTAAGCTGATTACAGCAAACGGTCTCCAGCACTTAAGGCGCTATGATAAAAAACCTGAAAGTGCAAGGGCACAGTTGCTGGATGAAGTAAATCTTCTACAACTATTTTTTTTTCTCATTTCAAACAGTTTACAGAAACTTGGTTCAGTTTCTGTGTGTTATTAGTGGTTGAAGCTGTATAATGACTATGCAAGTATTTCACTTGTCATGATGAAGTGATATGTGGTGTTGTTATTGCAGGATGGTCCAGCTTATGTTCATTTGTTTGTTAGCATCTTACGTGATATATTCAAGGAAGAAACAGTGGAATATGTTTTGGCTTTGATTTATGAAATGCTCTCAGGTAAACAAAACCTGAAGATAATTGCATTTACCTTTTCTTTCGTTTTAGATACCGACTAATATTAATGCATCAACTGTTTGGCAGCAAACCCAACGCGAGCTCGGTTATTCCATGATAAATCTTTGGCACAGGAGGATACTTACGAGCCTTTCTTGAGGTGAGCCCCTATGCAAAAGTTTGATGACTGTAATTTGGTCTCTGCAAGTATTGTTTCCCTGGATAGAGTCGCTTATTGGATCAAATTCAAATCTGTTGTTACTACTTTGGCAAGGTTTTGGACTTCTTGCATTTTGCTTATTCTCTTGACCTATTAATGTGTCAGATTTCCTTTCTAGTTTTCTCATATTCTATTGTTTACATATACGGTGTCAAATGAACCTGACCTTTTCTAGTGACAGCCAACGGCTATTTCTCAAAAAGAAAAGATAACCTGTATGTGTGTTATGTTTAGTAGGACATTATCACTTGACCTGATTTCCTTAGTCCTGTGCAGATAGTGTAGTGGTTCCAGCACAAACATTTTGTTCCTTTGTTTATTCTATCGCTAGGCCCTTGCTCTTTTTTTTTTTGAGATCCTGATATTAGTGATGATGAGTCAGTTTATTAGTTTCTACAATCTTGTTGACAAAGGGGAAACATATGTAAAACTCCATTGGAGAAACTGCTTTCAGTAACATATTTGCTTCATTTTGGCAGTTTAATCTTCAAAAGTATGCAAGCTAAAAGATATGTTCTCTTTCAGGTTGCTGTGGAAGGGAAATTGGTTCATTCAAGAAAAAAGCTGCAAGATCCTTGCCTGGATAATAAGGTATTGTAGAGTTCAATACTGCTCATCATACTCTTCTCAAAAACGTCTGTAACATACAGCGTCATTTACTTGGCGGGTATTTCTCTTCTCTCAACATATAGTGCTAGGCCAAAAGATGGTAATGGTGCTATTGCTAATGGAGAAGCTTCCGGTTCTAAGAAACAGATTACTACAATTGATGATGTACTCAAGGGTTTGGTGGAGTGGCTCTGTGCTCAGGTTTCTTCTTCTTTTCTCTTTCCACTTTGTTTTCTTTCTAGTTTATGTTGGCCTTGCATTGGTGTTTTGAGATAGTAATTCTTGAAAAGTGTTTGATGTCCATCATAGATTTCACAACCCTTAATTTTGATATGCAGTTGAAGCAACCTTCTCATCCCACTCGTGGTGCTCCAATTGCAATCAGCTGCCTGTCATCACTGCTTAAGGAACCTGTTGTCAGATCGTCGTTTGTTCAGGCAGATGGGGTGAAGTTACTTGTTCCTTTAATCTCCCCAGCATCCACTCAGCAGTCTATCCAGGTAACTATATATTTGGTGGAAGTAGTTTTTAGTGAAAAATGTTCACAAAAGCTGTGAAGAAGTATTGCAGTTTCCATATTATGCCAAGTCTTTGGCAGAGAGGCGATGACTTAGACAGACACTCAGGGTGAAACCCGTTTTGATTTTCAAATGACTACGAAATCTGTGGATTTTATTTCTCCCTAATTCTAAAGTGTGGGTTGGATAACTTGGTAATTATTAGATGGGTCTGTTTCAGTTTCTCAGTAACTAACTCTTGTGATTTGTATGCTCTCAACGAACAGCTTCTCTATGAGACATGTCTCTGCGTCTGGCTTCTATCCTATTATGAACCCGCAGTAGAGTACTTGGCAACATCTAGGACAATGCAAAGGCTAACGGAAGTGGTTAAAAGCTCGACTAAGGAAAAGGTGAACTTAGTGAAAAGATCATATGACATGGTTTGGTTGATCGATCTGAAGATTTTTGTTTTGGATCATTAATTTGCATATATGTTGTGCGAAACACTTGTTCTGTTTATCTGACGGTATTTTGTCTTATAGGTTGTCAGGGTGGTCATATTGACATTCAGGAACTTGCTTCCAAAAGGTACATTTGGTGCCCAGATGGTTGAGCTTGGACTCCCACATATTATCCACAGTCTCAAAACACAAGCCTGGAGTGACGAGGTAAGACAAGTTAAAATACAAAACTGAGTACTGTGGAACATGAATTTCTTAATTTTCTGCTAAATCTACTGCAAGAAAATCTGAGTGATTATGACAATATTGGATGTGTTTTAGTACAATGATCATAGTTAAACCCGTTAAATTCTGTATTTTCAAAGGACTTGCTGGACGCACTGAATCAACTAGAAGAAGGGCTAAAAGACAAGATCAAGAAATTGAGTTCCTTTGACAAATATAAGCAAGAGGTTCTTCTTGGCCAACTTGACTGGAACCCAATGCACAAAGAGGCCAATTTCTGGCGTGAGAATGTCACAAGCTTTGAGGAGAATGACTTCCAGGTATTCTTCTTCTTTATTCCTTTCTCCTCAACAACCACCACTTGTAGGGCACATCAACCCTAATTACTCGTATTAAAACTTGTAAATGCAGATACTCAGGGTCCTCCTCACCATACTGGACACGTCAACTGATCCAAGATCATTGGCGGTGGCATGCTTTGATCTCTCACAGTTCATACAGTATCATGCAGCAGGGAGAGTGATCGTAACAGACCTCAAGGCGAAAGAGCGGGTGATGAAGCTGATGAACCACGAGAACGCCGAGGTTACCAAGAACGCACTCTTGTGCATTCAGAGGCTTCTCCTCGGTGCTAAGTACGCTAGCTTCTTGCAAGCTTGATGGTACACATCTGTTTCTATATATATGGAAAGCCACCAAGACATACAGATTGTGTTTCCTTTTTTATCATGTGGATTTGTTGTTCACTTCGAAACAAAACCTTCCCCAACTCCTCCCTGCTTCTTTGCTTTCGATTCTACATTTCCAAGAGCATCTGTTTATTATTTGTCCTGGAAAAAATCTGCTTTTGTATGCTTAAATAATTTCTGGGTTGTTTTTTGTTTTGTCTTTTGTATTTATTTATTCAATAAAAAGCCCTTGAGGAATGCTATTGTTACAGAGAGACAATTTTAATTTTGGGCCAGTTTGTTGTAATGATGTGAGTTTCAGCTTGAAACTGATGACTGATGAAATATATGGTTACCATTGTCTAATAACTTTTGTTGCATGTTTATATTAGATTCATACATTCTTATACATGTATACATACCACTAATGAATCTATTCGTGTAATACATTATCACAACATATTAAACTTAATATTATGTTATTCAGAATTACACACATACATACAGGCAAGTCTGTTTCCTTTTACAACTGAAACATCATATATCTGTAACCTTTTTGCTTTCTGGTTTTTGAGATCTTGAACTAAAGAAGCTTATTAGGTTCGTATGCATAAGAACTTACAGAAAAGAAGATGAATTGGATCACTTGATGAGAATGCATCTCGTTGGTGCTCCTTCAGCTCCAACCAATCTCAATGGTAAGCAATGAAGCGAATACGTTCCTACCTCCACACCATCCAGCTTCAGCGCTTCCACAGGGATTATGTCCTGAAATCATGCGTATTCCACCGTGTTATGATGTGCCTCGTCTCACTTTTACGCCTACTTAACTAACCAAATTATCTCTCTCACTTTCTTTTCTAGTGAAATAGCTACATGTCCAAGCATACCCCATGGTTTTTCACCCAAACATCAC